AGCAGATCTTAATGTATGCATGGTATTGATAGGTTACAGGGGTATTAAGGTACCTAGCAGATCTTAATGTATGCATGGTATTGATAGGTTACAGGGGTTTTAAGGTACCTAGCAGATCTCAATGGAGCAAGGGAACTCTACTTGAAACACAATATTATCAAGTGTCTTGGAGACATTTTGAGCTATTTCTCAAATGATGAAGATTTAGTGTACAACATCTCAAGGATTCTCAGGTTTGTTCAATGACAGAATGCTTAAAATTGAATCTTTTTAAGGGTTGACAGGTATCTCAGTTGCTACTTACATGATAAATTAATTAACACCATGAGTATTATTATTTTTATTCAGCAAGTTGACATTGTACAATGACTGCTGTACCCAGTTGCAGTTGTCTGAAAACTGCTTTAAAGCTCTAGYAAAGACTCTCAAAGACTATGAAAAGAAACAGGTGTGTCTGGATGGTCTCTATAGTAAGGGATCTCTTTTGTTCTTCAGACCTTTGTACCTAGGTACACTGTATGGCAAGTCCTATACTAGCCAATCAGAACAAATTCAGTCCTTTCAATTCATGACAGCATTTCCTTGTGTTGAACAGGAAATCACAGTGCGATTGTGTTTTATCCTTGGTAACCTAACAGCAAAGAATGATGAAGCAAGATTAGATTTGTTTGATGTATCATCCTGCATGRCAACCCTCCTGTCAATCATGACTACTTACTTTAATTTAGATCAGGTAAGAATCACATTTTCTGACATTTTCCTTTTTTTCTTATTTGTTTTCTTACTTTTTCACTTTTCATTTCCCATTCTGCATTTCGGTCCCAATTTCCCATTTTTTTATTACTTTTGAACTCCTTTATTCAATCTATTCATAACTTTCTATACAAAAGCTGTGACCACATGAGCAAACCAGTGAACTAATAATGCTTTGCTCAGTGTTTCACCTGTGTTCAATGATTGGTTCATATTTCATTAGATAACATTGAATACATCCTTAATGTAGTCTGTTCTTATTTCAGAATACCAGGAGTGAATCCAGTGATTCTTCTCCTTCACAAAGTGACATCAGCATAAGCAGTACAACTAGCAGTAGTGGTTATAATAGTGGTAGCAACAACAACAACAACAACAACAACAACAACAACAACAATATTAGTCCTATTAGGATTCAAGAAGGTTATGAAGATGTTCTTGTTAAGGTAAAAGTCTAACAACCAATGCAGCTAAAATAAGATAACAAATACAACCAACAGACCATAAAAGCAAACAATGCAAGCAAAAATTACAATTCGTTATATGGTTGTAAAAAAGTAATATTGAAAGCTATGTTAATATTTATTGTACAATTATAATTATTAACAATGGTGTTCCAGCATCTTAATGACTTCTAAGTAGAGGGACCTGAGGCTTAATATTAGTCAAGAAAAAGTAGAATTTAAATCAGTGTGTATAAATGGACTTTTACTTAAAAGACTTAATAAAGGAACTAGTTGTATTGTATATTTTACATATTATTGTTGCAGGCAATAAGAGTCATTGCTAATTTATCTATCAATGGTGATGTTGGAAGTGCTATTGCTACTGATGAGATTTGTATCAGTATGTTACTCC